CCCCCCCCCCCCCCCCGAAATTACGAAAATTATAAAAATGAACTAATGAATTACGTGTGTGATTTAAAAATATTTATATTTAATAAAGTTTTTGTATATACGTATAATTTCCATTATTTATATAAAATCAATCATATGCGTTTTATGGAGTTCAAATCCATTTCCAATGACACACATAAACAAATCACACGATCATTACGAATGTTTATGCACTTAATCCGTCAACATATGTAGGTTGCCCGAACTATGAATCGAACTCACGACTTTCACAGGATGAGACAATTTTTTATACCAAAGATATTCTATAAAGAAGTTATTAAATATAATTTTTTATACTTTGTTTAAAAAAAGCGCGGTTTCCTTCCATTTTAATATTATGCAAGATACTCAAACAAATTGAAGCTATCAAATATTTTTAATTAATTTAAAGAAAAAGAATGTTTAAGCAAAGTAGTTTGATGAAATTTTTTAAGAACAATAATAAAAATATTGACGATAATATTAGTTTTTGTGGAAATGAAAAGGAAAAAAATCGTAAAAGAAAACAGTTAGGTTAGTTAGTTCAGTTATGAAGTAGTAAATCTTTTTCTTTTATTATCTAATTAGTTTCGCTAATAAATTTAATACAAATACAAGTATTTAGTTTTAAAATGAACAACTTTTACGCTATATTAAACATTTTTTTAACAATTAATTTAATGTATTTTTTCATAAATGAACATTTTACATATTAAAACGTAATCAAAACTGAAAACAGGTGCAAATGTAGATGAAGCAGTTTTGGATGATCCCCAGCCTTCAGGTTCAGTTCAAACTGCAACCAATCTCGATGATATAGATAATTATGTAGAAAATTCAATGACGGATCAAGAAAAAGAAATTGTGTTGAAGTCATTGTGGACGCCTCCTTTCATACTCTGACAAAAAAGAGGGAGCGTTTTGTAAATTTTGTGTTATATTTGGCGGGGAACATGTGGGAAAAGGTGCTAACCAAAAAGTTGGGTTTTTGGTAACAGATCTTTTAATAGGTGGAAAGATACCATTGAACAGTTTGAAGCACATGCAAACATTGAATACCACAAAACATCAGTGATAATGGCTGAAAACTTTCTTTCCGTGGATGAAAGGAGACAAAAATCTGTAACCAAGTTAATCGATTCAGAAATCTTGAGAAAAGCCCAAGAAAATCATGCAAAATTAATTCCTATTATTGAAACAATAATATTTCGTGGTCGTCAAGAAATTGCACTTAAAGGTTCGGATGAAGTCGGTCCAGTCTTACACAACAATGTCAATGTTAATGATGGAAATTTCAGGGCTTTGTTGAGATTTCGTGTTTTATCCGGGGATATAATTTTTGAAAATCATCTAAACTCAAGTGCTGGAAACGCTTTGTATACAAGCCCGGCTATACAGAACTCGATTATACATATCTGTGGTGAACTAATGCAAGAACAATTAGTAAAAAAGATTAATTCGGCCTGCTCATTTAGCCTCCTTGCCGATGAGACAACTGATGTAACTAATAATGAGCAACTAACTATTTGTTATCGCTATTTGGATAACAGCGTATTAAAATAGGATTTTTTCGAATTTGTTATAGTTAACGATTTAACCGGACGAGGTTTGGCAGCCACTTTGATAGTGTGATTAATTGAAATTTTTTTTTCTATTTATAACATTTTTAAATGTCGATAGATGCTTAAATCCGGCCATAAATCTGGCCACCAAATCCGGCCAGGGCCGGATTTGAAAAAAAAGCCGGATTTTGGCCGAAGCCGGGGCCAAACTTCGGTGTATCCCTAATATATATACATTGTTCATAAGGTCAATCTAACAAATATTTGTTGAAAAGTGAAATTAAAATAAAGTAAACAATCAGTTTTTAGCCGGTTGTTTAGCGATTATCGTTCTAGTTGCTTTTTTTGTCAATTTATTGACATTTAATTGAAAAATTTGTCAAAGGTTAACAATAAAATAGGATAGTAAAACGTTTGATCGTAAAAAATCAGTAAAATGTCAATTACTACGAAAAAATGAACTAAGAAAAATTATTAGGCAGGTAACAATTATTATGCCATATCCATTATATCCATGGTTTTAAGCCAAAAACAAAAACTGAATCAATCAATCAATCTTCGTTGAGCGTCCAGAGACCCAATTCCCCGGGGTAAGACGTTGTTTTCTTTGCCATCAATTTTTTGCGCCAAATTGGACGATCAGTTGTATCCATTTCATTTAAATTTAATTCGTTGCATCTATCGGAGCATTTTCATATCGGTTCAGTGAAGTTGTTGTTCCAGTTTGGTTGTCATTGGCCATGTTTCTGCACCATATAACAACACCGGACGTATCACAGATTTATAAAGTCATGATCGTAGTGGTAGTGGGATGTCACGCCGCATCAATGTAGAGGCAAGGAGATGCTATTTATTCTAGGCTGCACGTATGCGTGCTCGAACGGCAGCTTCAGCTGTTCCAGTACAATCTAGAACATCCCCTAGATATTGAAACGATGTGACTTTTTCTACTCTAATGGCTTCAAAAACATTGCCATTTTGTATTTGTTGTTGTGGATTGATGCAAGCAGGACAAACAAAATTGGATACTTTAGATAAAGTACCAATTATTTTTGAACAACAGCACGCAAGGCAATGTGGATGCAGTTTTATGTCATGCCCAGGACCACAAACACAAAAACTGAAGATGAAAAGAAATCAGTAGACAATACAATTGTATAATCATAATGAAGTGTGCCGAGTTGTTCTTTTGCAATATTCAGAAGATTTAATTAAATATGAATTAAACATAACAAATTTTTTCTTAACTATAACATTATTTATATGTATATATAATTTTATAGTTATATACAGCATATATATATATATATATATATATATATATATGTATATATATATATATATGAATATATATATATGAATATATATATATTTATATATATTACAATATTCTATAAATTCTACCGAATGTTTGGCGTTAATATGCTTGTAGTTCGTTTTTTTTTGTAAACCGTGCATTCACACATTCTTCCGATATTGAAAATCGCGACGCCGAATTAAAAAGAGTCACTAACCTGCTTGTAAACAATGGATATAAGACTTATTCTATTGAAAAAATTGTTAAAGGCAAATTACTACACAACAATAACTTTCCTAGTACCAACAATCAAGATAACGACATCATCTTGTATTACAGAAATCACATGTCAAACGCATACAAAGCAGATGAAGCTATTCTTAAACATATCATCAATAAAAATGTCACACCAACCAACCCAAATAATAAAGTTAAACTCCGAATATATTACAACAATACAAAGACGTCTCACCTAATACTGAAAAACAACTGTGGTCCTAGAGATAACTCTGTGCTAAGGCGTAATCAAATAATATATGAATTTAATTGCCCCTTTGACGGCTGTGCACGTCAACATGACTCATATATCGGGGTTACTACTACCTCATTGACTAGAAGGCTTACGATGCATAAACAGAGTGGTGCTATCAAATCTCATTTGGACTCAACACACTCAATCACTATTAGCCGTGAAATCTTCGACAGTAACACCAAAGTAATATACCAGAACAGCAGCTACACGCATCTTAAAATTGCAGAATTGACATCAATAAACCAAAAATAAATATACAACAAAAAAATTGACAACCTCACTTCCAACCCGGCGCTTAACTAACAACGAAAACAAAGAAGTAATAAAAAATAGCATTGTAAATAGTGACAAAGAAGAATATGATGCTATCCATGAAAAAAAGAGACCAAAGAAGATGACCAGCCAATAAAGAAACCTGACACCTAATTTCAATCTAAGTTCATTTTGACAAAGTTAATATTTCCTTATATAAACAGCAGAAAGCACTGATGATGATTCATTCGGAATCGAAATATGGCCTTTTTGCAGCATGAATTCGGAAAACAAGTTTATTTTGAATTTTAATAAACTAAACGAACAGCCTATTTATCGAATTACGTATATCTGGGTTATAACTAGCTGAGTTTAGAAAACGTCTAAATACATCTATTTGTTACCTCCTAGCAATCTCCACCGATGATGGCTTTGCTTTCAATTTGCTTCTTTATTCGAGGAGAGCGCTGATGAGAAGCAATTATAGTTGGCGCTATATAAATACAAAACTTGATTTGATATATATTATTGATGAAAATCACAACATGTTCGGGGTTAGTTAACTTTCAATTTAACTGTAAAGATTTTTATCAATAATTGCATTTCTTACAGTCTTAATCAGATTTTTTTCTTTTTGATTTTTATCCATTATTTTTCTTCTGTCATATCATCTTTTCAATATGATATCTATAATAACTTACGCAGGGCAATATAAAACTACCTATATCAACCTAAAACTCACTTGGTTTTTAAATTAAATTTATTTAACAAATAATGAAAACCAAATTAAGTGGCAAAATTTCAAATCAAATATCGAAAATTAAAGTGATGGGCACTTCAACTACATCTGAGTAGTTAAACTGTTGCTAACTACTTAACTACTTTTGAGTAGTTAAACTACTAGTTAACTAACTACTTTTCAATAGTTAAACTTTTAGGGCTTAACTCCTTTTCAGTAGTTGGAGTAGTTAACTACTTTTCAACTGCTTTTGCTCAAAGTATAGCATATATTTTATCGACACCGGCTATATATGACTGTAATATTTAACAATCAATACCTTACTGTTATATTCATATTACTGATTATGTCTACATAGGTGAGACAGAAGAAACAAATAAAATTGTCACTAATAACACTGTGTAATTTTCTTGATATCAGAACAGTCAACACAAAAACAATGGAAGTATTCACTGCTTAATTGCTGGTTGTATTCAAGTACCATGTACTGGGTAGGATAATTAAGTGGTACAAATATTCATAATATCTCTAAAACTCAGAGTGATTACAGTACAATGGCCAGTTTAAAACAGTTTTTAGAGTTTTATAACACAAAGACAAATAAAAGACAGTTTTATAAGTTTTACACTATAGCGTTACTCATTAATAACGCTCTCAGCTTTGAAGACAAGTTTTTCAAACATGCTGTCAGAAAGTTTACAACGCCATGGAACCAGAATTTGTCCAGCAGCACTAAACAACCTTTCGACTGCAGCACTACTGGGCAAGGATGCATTAAATTTCAGAAAGGCATTACACAGTCGAGGAAATTTAAATAGAACTTTTAGTTCAGTGTCAGCACTAAGCGATGTGTTCAACATTCAAAGTTTAATGATTCCAAACAATAAAATGACGGAAGTTGAGAAATATCAATCGATAACAAAAAATAAATTTAGCAACACGTTTTTGATAAATAAAGTATACATCATACATCAGCATCAGCACTAAACAACCTTTCGACTGCAGCACTACTGGGCAAGGATGCATTAAATTTCAGAAAGGCATTACACAGTCGAGGAAATTTAAATAGAACTTTTAGTTCAGTGTCAGCACTAAGCGATGTGTTCAACATTCAAAGTTTAATGATTCCAAACAATAAAATGACGGAAGTTGAGAAATATCAATCGATAACAAAAAATAAATTTAGCAACACGTTTTTGATAAATAAAGTACTTGTAAAATATAAAAATCTAAAATTGTCAAGCCTAAACAAATGTTAAATTTAAGATAATAACATTTTACTTATTTGTTGAAAAATTTCATTTAAGCTAACCAGTTTCAGATGACCAAATATAAGCGCATCCATCTTCACTACCACTAGCGACCATTGATCCATCTGGTGTAAAACAGCTATGAACAAGAGTTGAATTGTTCAAGGCACCAGTCAGTGTGTGCAAGACAGATTCACTAGAGTAAAAATTGGTGCACATTTTTTAAAGCATAAAAATAATTTGTTACATTCATGCATCAAAAAATCCAATGATCTCTTATTTTTTATGTTTAAGCAAAAATTGGTGCACATTTTTAAAAGCATAAAAATCATTTGATACATTCATACATCAAAAAATCAAATGATCTCTTATTTTTTATGCTTAAGCAAAAATTGGTGCACATTTTTAAAAGCATAAAAATCATTTGATACATTCATACATCAAAAAATCAAATGATCTCTGATTTTTTATGTTTTATAAAAACGTAAAAATGTGTTTTATAAAAACGTAAAAAATTTCAATGAAATAAATAATTAAAAAATACAAAATTTTAAAAACATACACTCTCAAATCAACAAGTAGTAATTTATTATCTCTTGTGTGAATGAGGAGACGATGGTTCAAGTGGTGTATAGAAAGACTATTGATGGGAATATTCTGTAAAATAATTATTATTTTAGAAGCCTTTAAATAAATTGTGGCGTTGTGATCATATGAAAACTTTATAAAACTCCTATAGTTTATGACCTAAATGGATTTAATTGGTCGATAACATGAATTTTTTATTTGACTGGATTTTGTCAGAAAAAGCAGAAACTAAAACAAACAAATTAAAAAAATTTGTTTTCAAATGAAAACAGAGATAAAAAATAAATTTTACCACGCTCTATCTAATAAACATATTATTTTCAAATGTTTATTTTTATAGCAAAAATCTTGAAATCGATTTTTCAATAATGTAAATACTTGTTCATTTCAGATCACAACGTATGAATGAGTTAAAAAACTTAATTTAAGTAATTAAATTAATATAAAATGTTAATAATAATAACTTTTTTAAATAAATAGCTTTGGTGAATCAATTTTCAATATTTACAATAAATGAGAGGAAAGAAATTTTTTTGCAGATATACTTTGCAGATATGCCGCATTTATT